TGAACGGCGGAAGCTTTAAGTCAAATTTCTTTTACACGTAGATTAACATTTTTTGGCAACATTAATGAAAGAAATATGTGAATAATGTGATGATCAGAAGAAGATTAATACACGACTAACAGAGATGAAACACACACACACACACACACACTGACCCCTGTACTCATTCATTGTACCAGTCATACAGGTTCCTCCACTCTCCCTTACTGACCACCACTACTATATACCACTGCTACCACTATTACCACTACTATCTCTATCACCACCACCACCACCACCACTACTACCGCCACTACTAATACCACCACCACCACTACTACTACTACCGTCACTACTAATACTACTACTTCTAATACCACCACCACCACTACTACTAACAGTGGCCTCCAGCCTCCCCCAATAGCCACACCTTCGCCACCATTTATTTACCTTAATATTATATTTCCTAATACATAAGTAGCTATACTATCTGTGTTAAATTAGTTGAGCCGCAGATCTATGCGGCATTCAGTGACTGTAGCCTCATAGTCAACATCTGCAGCAGTTGTCCGAGTAGGGGCAGAAGCTCTCGTTCCCCTGAGGCAGAGCAAAGCCGACCGAAGGAGAGAGAAAGACAGTCGACATCTCATCCAGGCTGTAACATAACTTCTGGGCTGCTGCTTCTGTTCGGAGATTACCTCCGCGAGTCTGGCGTAGAAACATCTTGCACTTGGTCCCATCCCACCAGAGGTTGTGAACACTAGAGGAGTGAAGCTGCCTTGATCAACGTTTTGAATTCTCTCCCCAAATGCCCTTCTCTTGTCGTTCTCGTTCCTCCTATATGCAGCATCGAGAACTAGGTTACGGTGACATGCGGCCATGGGATCAAAAATCCTGATGTCGAAGAAAGCTCACTGTCCCCGCGTCCAGAATCCTCAAGCACTGACGTCCACACGGGCTTCGTTAGATGTGTGTGAAGTACTGTGTTGGAAGATCTCACCATCCAATGGAAGGAGGGTCGGTTCTACCATGACATCCTGACAGATTTCCTTCAACGTATTTGCTGTGAGATCCCTTACCTCGTCATGCCTCATGCATATGAAGCCCCCCTTCTTGCACACCATGGCGTGATCGCCATCATAGGAAGAGCCACACACGCATTGGGAGGGCAAACCTTCTACTGGCCGACTGTACCTTAGAGCAATGGCATCTGTAAATTCTTGTTTATTAAGACTGAAACCATTTGCCCTTATCGGTAACGTAGTTAACCAGTTCGAGGCGCCCACCTCCTGCGCTATAACTACTTTTTTTTCAAATTTTCTGGAACCTGCAGCAATAGTTGCTGCAACTTATCATTTTGGCAGTGCTGTCGATCTGTCGTAATGGACCTACGAATCTTATTTACTTCACTGGTATCCACTTCTCCTGTTGCATTCTGGGCTATTATGTGGTCCGTGAGGACTGCCGTGAGCTTAAGTGAATTTTGATGTTCAGTGGCAGCAATCTCCTCTGGATTTGTTGGTCCCATCCCTCCCAGTCTTGATGGAAGTGCAAGAAGTGCTCTTTCTGCTGGGGTTAAGTCAGGGTGTTTCACTAATTTGGGAATGAACTTGACACTGATAGCTTCTTCCAGAGGGTGAAGGAGGGGTCCGATATCAGGGATGGTACGCATCAGGTAGTTCCACCGATGCTTGACTCCATGGGTGAATGCAGCAAAGGTCTCATGTGGCTCTGTGTTAGCAATCTCAGACAGAGCTTGGATTTCACTAACCCACTCATTCACCTTTCCCGCTACGTACTCGTCTTGAAGTCTGCAGTGCCAATTACTGCGCCTAGATGTCTTTGGCCGTCCTTAGTTATTTTGGCCTCACTTCCGCCAAAAACCTCCATTGCCCGTTCATTATGTTCTGGCTTCACGATGAGGAAGGACTTGCTGGCGTCACTACTACTACCACCACCACACTACTATTACTACTACAGAACTACCATAGACACAATCAGGCGTCAAGACGTGACTAAACTACCGACACCTCAAGAACAGGTCAACAGGTCACATACCACCCGTTTGATCCCCCCCCCCCCAGGTGGCTACGACCTGGTCTCCGAAGGGCCCCACGACCTGGTTGACTCACCTGAGCTACTTACACAGGTCACCAGGTCATATATCACAGCACCACACTACGACCACATTATAACTAATACCACTACCACCACCTTCATATACAGTATAATACTAGATGAAGGTCAGCTGCCACACACACCTGTAATTCAAACAGCACGAGACGTCAGGGTAGTCATAAACTGATTCTCTGTTGCCATAGACTCAACAACAGGCATGGATGGTTCAGCGATCGACGGCTCTGATTGGCTGGTAAAAATAAACCTTGTGAATGATCATAAATGTTATAGATTGAACTAATTATTTACTATCCTGGTTCATAGAGCGTTCATGATTTTATTTCTACTTGTACCTTATTTTTCCCACTTGTGTGTCTGGTGAGGGGGTGAGGGATCAGCCAATCAGACGCCGTTTATACCTGTTGTCTGTGGGGGGATCAGCTAATCAGACACCGTTCATACCTGTTGTCTATGGGGGGGTATCAGCCAATCAGACGCCGTTCATACCTGTTGTCTGTGGGGTATCAGCCAATCAGACGCCGTTCATACCTGGTGTGTGGGGGAATCAGACACCGTTCATACCTGTGTCTGTGGGGGTATCAGCTAATCAGACACCGTTCATACCTGTTGTCTATGGGGGGGTATCAGCCAATCAGACGCCGTTCATACCTGTTGTCTGTGTATTTTAATTTTTTTAGCGATACTTTCTTCATAAAATTGTTTGGAGGAAAAAAGTAATTTATTTATTTATTTTTTACTACCAGAAGGCCAAAAATACCCCCCCCCCCCTCTCAAGTTAATCGTGGGGCTGATATTGTTAAATAAAAACCAACACTTCAGTATACGTTTTCTGCCTAATTTCAATGTTTGATCAGTACAGTGGTAATTCGTGTCTTGATTCTTGGCCGAATTATTTCACAACCTCGCCGCCATGTCAAGGTAGTGAGAGAGACCTACCTTCTGGCGGCTGAGGGAGGTGAGGTATTATTTGGACCGCCCAGGTGGTCCATACTCACCCAGGTGGACTACACTCACCTCGGTGGACCAGTGATCACCTGATAAACGCCTTAGCCTTCCCGCTCGATAGGAGGACCTACCTGTAGCGCCTAATTAAGGATTCGGGAATTATAGTTGTGCGTTTAGCTTTATGTTCTTGTGTTATGTAGAACAGCGGTTAGTTTAGCGTTGTTGTTTTTATATAGAGCACTTAACAACTCTTAACACGTCACTTAACAACCCTTTACATGCGTCACTTAACAACCCTTTACACGCGTCACTTAACAACCCTTAACACGCGTCACTTAACAACCCTTTACACGCGTCACTTAACAACCCTTAACACGCGTCACTTAACAACCCTTAACACGCGTCACTTAACAACCCTTAACACACGTCTCTTAACAACCCTTTACACGCGTCACCTAACAACCCTTTACACGCGTCACCTAACAACCCTTAACACGCGTCACTTAACAACCCTTAACACGCGTCACTTAACAACCCTTAACACGCGTCTCTTAACAACCCTTTACACGCGTCACCTAACAACCCTTAACACACGTCACTTAACAGCCCTTTACACGTCACCAAGACAGTTAACTATGCATCACAACAAGCAAGGGGTTAACAGCCAATGTTGTACTACTTCGAGAACACTGCGCCGTGCATCTTAACGAGCTGGCGCCACTAAGCCTTGACGTCCATCACTACTGAGTAACTGGTGCCACTAAAACACTCCCTTGACACCATTAACTGACGTCACTAAGTAGAACTCGCTCAATATTCAAAACTATTATCTGGCGCCATTAAACACAAACACAGTAACGCCACTAACTTGCGCCATCAATTAAACAAAAACACATCGAATTGGCGCCACTAAACACACCAACACCACTCTCTAACGCCATTAAACCAATAAACACAAACACATCAACACCACTATCTGGCGCCATTAAACCAATAAACACAACAACACCTCCAACAACAGATAAAAATAGTCACTGGTCTACATTCAGCTTTGCGTCGGTGCACAAGAAAATGTTTCCTCTCACTTGTAGGACTATATTGGTCAGTTGTTGTGGAAATCAGGGAATAATGAGGGGTCAGAGGGAGAAAAAGTCAGGGAATATGAGGAGGAGAGGGTCAGAGGGGTCAGGGGAATGAGGAGAGGGTCAGAGGGGTCAGAAGGAGGAGGAGGGTCAGAGGGGGTCAGGGAATGAGGAGAGAGGGTCAGGAGAGAAAAAGGGGTCAGGGAAGGAGGAGGTCAGAGGAGAAAGGGGGTCGGGAAGGAGGAGGTCAAAGGAGGAAAAGGGGGGAATGAGGAGAGGTCTGGGGAGAGAAAGGAGTGGGGAAGGAGGAGGGGGGTCAGAGGGAGAGAAAGGAGGAGGGGGTGAAGGTCGTTTAGGTATTTATGCACTAGTAAAACACGTACTACTAGAAGCTGCAATAGGTGCGTGTGTGTGTGTGTGTTGCTGATATCCGACCAACCTATATATGTAACTCGCCAACAGGTTCGAGTTAATGTTGTTGTTGTGACGTGTAGTGAGAGGTGCTATGTAAACAAAGGGGCGCAGATAGACAGACGGGTAGATAGATGAATGTATGTACAGTAAATATAGATAAGACTACACAGATACAAAGGGGAATAAATAAAAGTATAGCAAAAATATAATGACACAAATAAATATATTATAACATAGAAGAATGGGAAGAGAGGAGGAGGTCAGCAGATGGCACAAGTGAGTTTGCAGAAGGGTAAAGATAACTGTACCTGAGAAGGGAGAGACAGACAACAAGATCAGTGGCCCAGGCAAAGAGACAGAAGGCGAGGCAGAGAGACAGGGGAAGCAAAAAACAGGAAGATTGATAGGAGAGGCAAAGACAGGAAGAGAGACAAGACTCACCTTTGAGCTTGGTAGGTGAGGGCTCCACCCGCTCCTCCACCGTGTTAAACATCTCACTGAACATCTCCATCTCTTCCTGTAAAAAGGACTCTTTCTCTCTCTCTCTCTCTCTTGGACTTGACGTTGTCACTCCTGGAGGAGAGATGTAGGGGCTGAGATATCTTAAGAAGGGCTCTATCTCAAAGGTTTAGAGAGACTCGTAACCTTGATGAGACGATCTCTTCAACAAGCAATATCAAAAGGTTCAGGATCTCTCGATGCTGTCACTCCTGGAGAGACTTGTAGCCCACTTACAGTAGCTAAAAGATTCTGGAAGGAGTTTATCTCTATCTCTCTCAGACGAAGACAATCGAGATGAGACTCGTTTATCTACGACGTGTGTGTGGTCTCCCTGACAGAATTCTTCGCGACGATGGTAAAATACGTTACTGTCAATCCTTTTGGAAGAATGACACTTGAGAGAAACAATCGTCTTCGAAAACTTGCTGCTGGGGCTTCTTGATTCTTGGAGGAGTCTACGTGAGAGAAGGAAGAGACTGGAGGAGGTAGAAAGAGGAGCTGACCACGGGGAGCGGGACCGGGGAGGTGTGGTCGCACTGACGGCAGGCGGCGAACTGACTGGAGGACTAGACGGAGGTGGCCACTACACCACCGGTACAGGAGTCACCAAGGCCACTTCTCCTCCTCCTCCTCCTCCTTCTTAACACACACATGTACTGTACCACCTCACCTCCACTACCATAACTAGTACTCCTACCACTATTTCTACCACAAATTCCATAATCATTACCATCTCAACCACCATCTCCTTCAACTACCACTACTAGCACCTACCATCACCAATACCATCCAATATGCAACCACACCCCATTTCTCTACCTCCCCCCCCCACCTTGGCCCCGAGCACCCACACTCCTACCATACCTGCCCTGTCCCTCTCACCCATTTCCTGGTACCACTTACGCATACCACTAACATCACCCTCTGGACCACAACTACCATCACTACTACCACCACCATTACCATCACTACACTACCAGTATCATCATTTTACCACGACACTGCCACCACTATCATTAATATCACTCTACCACCATTACCAACACTACCACCAGTCAAAGGATACGATAGTCTATCACCGCCCGAAACCTTGTATATACTGTACCGTTGCCGACCATTGCATCACTCTCACTCTCACTCTCTCTCTCTCACTCTCTCTCTCTCACTCTCTCACTCTCTCTCTCTCTCAGTGTGATAATATAAGTTAAATGAGAGAAAAGCTCGATTCTTTTTTCCTCTTGAATAGATTAAGTTCCGGCTATATATTAATTAAAGTGATGGTTTGTGTTTATTATTATTATTATTATTATTATTAGTATTGTTGTTATTACTCTTACAGTATTATTTTTCTGTTATTAATTATCATCGTCATCATTCGTCATCATTATCATCATCATCATCATCATTCAGTCATATTCCTTTGTGTGACCAGCTACTTGGTGTTGAGAGTCCTGTTGACGCGCTGAGAGGAGGAGGAGGTTAAGGAGGAGAGGTGAGAGAGGGATTAAAGTGAGGTAAATGAGTGAGAGTTGAGGGAGGGAAGGGAGGGGGAGCGTCGGTGGGGAGAGGGAGGGAAGGGAGGGGGAGCGTCGGTGGGGAGAGGGAGGGAAAACTTGATCCCGCGGGAATTCCCAACTTCTTCCGAAATGACCGTCAGGTGTCCGTGTTGACCGTCAGGTGTCCGTGTTGACCGTCAGGTGTCCGTGTTGACCGTCAGGTGTCCGTGTTGACCTTCTTGTGTCTTTGTTGTTTATTTCTCGTGCTAGAGTTTGTTGTGTAATAGTTTATGTAATGATGTATTTTGAAACTTGTGTGTAATAATAATTAGTTGTCTCATAGTTTGTTGCGTCGTAGTTTGTTGGAAGGCCATTCAGCTACACAAGCTTTTATTACTTTTTTTTTTAGGCGATTTGTCGAGCAGGTGACAAGGATGACTCACCTGAGTAAGATAATGCTGAAAAACAAGTCCCTAGGCTACCTCCAGCCCCCCTCCTCCTCTCTCTCTCTCTCTCTCTCTCTCTCTCTCTCTCTCTCTCTCTCTCTCCAGTATCTATTTTTTTCGGACGACAAGAATCAAACTACTCGAGTCTAACCTAACCTAACCTAACCTAACCTAGCCTAAACAACCTAACCTAAGTTTTGGTTAGGTTGAATATGGTTAGTTTATAATAATTAATGATGTTAATATTGACAATAATAATAAAAATAATAATAATAATAATAGAAGAAGAAGACGAATTGAAAATAACAACAATAATAATAAAAATAACAACAAAAATAGATAGCATTGTTGTTGTTCGTGGTAACATTTCAACACGATGAGTCACTTTAGGGTCACCAAACAACACTGCACCCAACTTACCTCCTTTAGGTACGCCGCACCATGTGAAGGATATACACTACCTGTGTTTCTGACCCTCACATACTTATATACTGATGATGCTCAGCGACTTATTTTTAGCTTCATGTTTATAGATATTTTGTTTTGGGGAAAAGTGGTGTCTTCGTGTGCCCATTCTCTTCAGGTATGTGGGGTTTTTTCTGTGATAATTATTGTGGTTTACCTTGGTTTATATACGTAATATATTTGGAAGGTTTAATATCATCTTCAGAGTTCTTGTATAAACGATGATCATAGCTGGATGCTACAGCGGCTGCGACTACAGTTTCTTGTACCTTTTAGGGTCGAGGATTAATTTTTGATAATCCCCAAATGGGAAGCCTGGAGGTTTAGAGTTGGATTAAGAGTTCACTGAGGTTAAAACGTGTACCTGTACTGACCCTGGTAGACTATGTGTGTACAGGAGACGGTGATAGTGGCGCTGTACTGACCCTGGTAGACTATGTGTGTACAGGAGACGGTGATAGTGGCGCTGTACTGACCCTGGTAGACTATGTGTGTACAGGAGACGGTGTGTGTACAGGAGACGGTGATAGTGGCGCTGTACTGACCCTGGTAGACTATGTGTGTACAGGAGACGGTGATAGTGGCGCTGTACTGACCCTGGTAGACTATGTGTGTACAGGAGACGGTGATAGTGGCGCTGTACTGACCCTGGTAGGCTATGTGTGTACAGGAGACGGTGATAGTGGCGCTGTACTGACCCTGGTAGACTATGTGTGTACAGGAGACGGTGATAGTGGCGCTGTACTGACCCTGGTAGACTATGTGTGTACAGGAGACGGTGATAGTGGCGCTGTACTGACCCTGGTAGACTATGTGTGTACAGGAGACGGTGATAGTGGCGCTGTACTGACCCTGGTAGACTATGTGTGTACAGGAGACGGTGATAGTACTTACATGTGACAAATATTCACTAGTGTCATGTTATCTGTGAACCTTGATGGAGAGGTAACTTAAAATGTTCACTAGTGATTTTGTGTACATTGTTTAGGAATCACACTATTAACGTCTACTGTACACACACGCACACACACACGCACACACACTACATCATTGACCACCGTAGGGTCAAGACCTATTCAGGCGCTGCTCCTGCTGAGCAGCGGCCCTCCTTGGCCAATGTTCGGCCTGTTTCCCAAGTCCCTCTCCCCGACTAATCCTCACCACCGGGATATCAACATAATTAAAAGTTGAACATTGTTGAACAATGTTTATGCCAGTGAATTCAGCAGTAGACAGTACCAGTGAGAGCCGTGACCCACCACTGAGATAAGCACCCCTGGGAACCATCCTCTGACCAGACGGTGTTAATCCGTCCCCCCTGGGAACAATAGTGGGTCGGCTCTACACCTGGTAGTAACTCTCGACAGGAGCTGCCATGCACAGGCCAACCGGCCTATTGCAGACTCTTTTATTTTCTTATGTTCTTATGGTTACGAGATAACACAACATCACCTAGCAGAGTGAGGTACTGTGACACCACATGGTGTCTCCATGACTACGTGAGGTCCTTCATATCAACACCCGAGGATGAGTTACTGTACCACGTGAACACCACACCACCCGGTGTCCCCATGACTACGTGAGGTCCTTCATATCAACACCCGAGGACGAGTTACTGTATCACGTGAACACCACACCACCCGGTGTCCCCATGACCACGTGAGGTCCTTCATATCAACACCCAAGGACGAGTTACTACACCACGTGAACACTACACCACCCGGTGTCTCAATGACCAGCCCTGGCCCGGGCCATCAACTGTAAACTATAATAATTTGTGTATTCAATTCATGTTCCTTCTCCTTTCAGTATTGAAACCTTTTGTTAAACGACCCACCCACCCCATTTCTTTGTATGTATAAAGTCATTTTTGTCCAATGTATATTTTCAGCCTTCGGGCTGAAGAACTTGTTCAATAAACCCCTAAAATGGCCCATTAATTTAGGTTAGGATTATATTTCCTTTTTTTATGTATTTTCTCGTCATCTTATGTTTCATTCACTTCCTTTTCGACATTGAAACATTAGGGAATAAATAATATTGGTGGGTAGTTGAGTGGCTACTGAGCATTGATTGATTAAGTTTCGTGACGTCATTGGAAAAACCAGGGAAGTCATGTCGTCACCACAACTAACATCTAAAAACCATGACGTCACCATTGCCAACACCATTCATTCTTCTTCATCTTCCCCCATTCATGCGTAAATCACCTAGCATTAACCCTCACCAGTCACCACCTTCATCCACTAACTGGTTAAGAGCGTTGGTCCGCCCACTGAGGCATCTTTAAATACCTTGAGCTACAGGTCTAGACTCATCAAGATATTATAGAACATTTTTTGTGTGTGTGGCAACAGTGACACGCAGTTTCAACAACAGGTCTTCGCTATACTCAGCTGGTGAATGAGGCGACATCTCTCTCTCTCTCTCTCTCTCTCTCTCTCTCTCTCTCTCTCTCTCTCTCTCTCTCTCTCTCTCTCTCTCTCTCTCTCTCTCTCTCTCGTTGATGTTGTGGAGATGTTCCTGATATAGTCAGTGGGATTAAACCCTCTAAACAGCTTCACACGGACCAAGACCCTATAAAACATTTCACGTGGACCAAGACTAAAACAGCTTCACGTGGACCAAGACCTTCTAAAACAGCTTCACGTGGACCAAGACCTTCTAAAACAGCTTCACGTGGACCAAGACCTTCTAAAACAGCTTCACGTGGACCAAGACCGTCTAAAACAGCTGCACGTGGACCAAGACCTTCTAAAACAGCTTCACGTGGACCAAAACCGTCTAAAACAGCTTCACGTGGACCAAGAGAGTTCCCCAGGTAGAAAATAGAATTAATGAGAAAAAAAAAGATAAATGGAATTAAAAAAGGAACAGAGGAGGAAGAGCATTAGGACCTATGTGTGGTGGTTGTCGTTTAGAGATCCTACAAACAACAAAGCTAACACACACTCACACGTATACAAGACCACAGGTAGTTAATGAATTAGTGATGAAGGCCCAGGAAGGTAAGAGTACTTCTTTGCAGTCCGGCTCCTCAAGGTAATATACATACCGTGGCTGAGATAAAAGTCCACGCGGCAACACTACCAGAGGGTCACACAGTCGTTCACACACACGTCCACACACCAGGTTGGGACAATACGCTTCTCTTGTCCC